TTTTTTCTGTGTGTGTCTGTGTCCGGACTCTCTCTCTTTTAAGGACAATGATCACTGTATCAGGACCTACTCGAACCTCACGGTTTGACTGTTACATTATTTGACTATATTTACAACACAGACACTATTTCCAAGTAGAGTCACATGCATAAAAATTAAAAGTCAAGGTGTAAGCAGGGGTATTTTTGTGTGTGCGTGCATGTTCACGTGTGTGCAGGTGCACAGGTGTGTGAATGCATTTGCATGTGGGGAAAGGCCAGAGGCCAACCTTGATTGTCCTTGGGCACTGTCCACCTTGTTTGAGACAAGGTCTCTCATTAACCTGGAACTTGACAAATAGACTGGACTAGCCGGGCAGAAAGCCCCAGTCAGGGATCTCTCTCTTGGCCTCCCCAGCAATGGGGTTATAAGCATGGACTACTAAACATAGGTCCTTCAAGGAAAGCATTTTATTAACTAAGCTATCTTCCCAGACTATAAACATATTTTTGTGAAGACACAATTCAATCTACATCTTTCAAGAAGGTATATTATCATTATACTGATACAAAGGACATGTAGCATAGGGCTGGAGAAATGGCTCAGAGGTTAAGAGCACTGACTGCTCTTCCAAAGGTCCTGAGTTCAATTCCCAGAAACCACACGGTGGCTCGCAACATCTGTAATGAGATCTGGTGTCTTCTTCTGGCCTGCAGTCATACATGCTGTATACATAATAAATAAATAAATCTAAAAAAAAAGGACATGTGGCACATGATTAGTTTGCAAGGGCTGCCATAACAAATGCCACATGATACCTTCACCAGCAGGCATACTTTTCCTCATAGTTCTGCAAATTGGTACATCAGGGATGGCAATGTGGGCAGAGCTGGTTTCTTCTGAGGCTAATCTCCTTGGTTCAAATGGGCCCAGATATACAGCACATATCTTCACACAGTCTTTCTCCCAAGCAGGCCTGTGTCCTAACCTGGCATTGGACTAGGGCTCTGTTTATCTCATTTTAGCTTCATTGTCTCCTTAAAGACGCCTCTCCCCATCTCCACACACAATGACACATTGTGATGTTGTGGGTAGGACTTCAATATATGAATTTAAAGAAACACAATTCAATCTGTAACACCACAGGTTACAAACAAAAATGAAATCCATAATACCCCTGAGTATAAACCCTGAATGTAGACAACTAGTTCTCACAGACTACTTAAATGAGTTTCTCGTTATCTCTTGTAGCCATGCCATATGGTTTCTGCTCACCAACAGGTGTAATCCCAGCACGAATATGGGTGGTTATTTTGTTTGCCTTAATAAGTAATACGAAGTTGAAACAGAATGTGTGACAAAACTGCATTCATTTGCTTGCGACTTGAGCAACTTGTGTACTGAATCCAGTAACAGATTGATCACCGAAGAGTATTTCACATTTTTTTTTTTGTTTGTTTGTTCGGTATTGAAAAGTAAACAAGTCCCGAGCTGCAGGAACTGCTCAGTCCCTCTCTAACCCGCTGACTCTGCCTCCCCAGGTGATGTACCTGACTGTGAAGGAGAAGCCAGGTGTGGCAGGGATTGCCACAGTCCAAGCCAATAGCTTCCCAATCACAGATTAGAGTAGGCTGGGTGTGTAGCCCAGTGGTAAAGCGCTTGCCTACATGTGCGAGGCTGCTAAAAGAAAAAGAGTATGCCCTTTAATCCATCCTTCCCACTCAGTCTCTCTAAATCACCACCTTTTCTTTTCTAGACTAGCCAAGCATCTCCACACAGATATCACGGGTCTTCTTCCCATAGCATCTCCTCAGGCCATGGCGTGTTATCCAGCCCCACACAGCCCAAGCCCATTACCATCTTTGTGCTTTGGGTTGGAGAAGGTGTTTTAAAACATAATTATACAATAAAAGGCATAAAGAATAACAGAAACACCCATGTTCTCACAGTTATCTACTTGAAACAAATAACCAGGGCCAATTATTTGAAATCTAGTGTGGCCCCAGCTGTACCGCATCCTCCCCACCACCGCCATGCCACCCCAGACTACAGGTGGATGCTCTCATTCTCATACCTTCCTTAACATTTGCGCTGCATGCATTTAAGCAGCAGACAGCCTTAATTGCCTTAATTGGTTTAAATTTAGGCACTTTATTCCCTCTTGATGCCATTTCTCTGGCTGGATCAGTATCGATAGATGTACCTCCCATTCCTTTTTGTGGGGCTGCATTTTGTCTTGGTCTTTTCTTGTTTCTTTTCTGGTTGCCTATTTTAGGCAATGATCAAAGGTAAGGATTTGGTAATTTGAAAGCCTCCTCCTGGAGGACTGTCTTTCATGGCATCAGAAGGCACCCTGTAAGCTTCCAAAGGAAGCAAATAACCATCAGTCTTACCCAGCTACGATGGCTGTGAACCACAGTATCAGCCAGCATGGCATGATAACCCTCGGGATGCAGTTGTGGCATGTATATCTTTGCAGTAACCAACAGCTCTCTAATTGGACTTAATACCTGCTCAAAAAGAGGAAAACCATACCTAGTACTGGAAACTCAGCCAGCTCCTCAGGGCCAGTGACGTCATGGATCTTGGAGGAGAACCTAGAACCACCACTTTACTAAATCAACAGAGTACATACTAAATATTTGTCTTTATACCCACAGATAAGTGTAGTCTTCACCCTCATCAAGGAACTTCTCTTTGCAATAGAAGGAAAGCATTAAACACACACACACACACACACACACACACACACACACACACACACACACAATCAAAATGCAAAGTTGTGGAGCCCAGACCCAACAGTTACATCTACAACACAACTCCCAAAGCTAAAGCTCAGGGATTATTGTGGAAGTGGGGCGGGAAGATTGTAATAGCCAGAGGGTCGGGGAGTTTGCTATGAGATTGTGCCTCCTAGTAATGTCAGAAGCTGCACACATAAAGTCTCGCCAGCAGGACTGCCTAAAGATGAGATGAACAGGGATGATGCCAATAGACACACTAGAGTGGTCTGAACCCTACACAAAGAACTGCAGGCAACAAAGGAATGTGGGGCAGGACAAACAGTTTTCCCCAGGGCTAAGCACACCAACTGGTTATCCAATGCCAAACAGTCAGCCCTCCAAACATATGTATAAGTAACATCACACAGACTGAGAAGGTTGTATTTATGTGTTTAGGAAGATATATGTGGACAGAGACAGGGAAGGAAGGGCTTTGGAATCAGATGACACAGGGTTCAAACCCTACTTCTACAACTTCTTTCACACAAACCCTTTGCATCTCTGTGACTCTATTTCCTCCTCCACAAACTAGACAGCAATAGCTCTCCCCTCCCATAAAGGGGACCAAAAGGGACAATTCCTATACAAGTTTCTAAAGGGTATCTACTACTTATGTCAAAGTGCTTACTCTCCACTCTTCTGGTTTCTCCTTCCATATGTCCACCAGAAGAATCCTGATGAGAACCAAGGTGAACAGCACATTCTGTGCTCAAAAATCTCAGACAGATGTCAAAGCAACTGTGTAACTACAGACAGACAAATTTATCCATTGCAGTACACTGGCAGTCATCTGCCCATTCATATTGGGGTGTGGTGATTTCATGTGTATGCAGGTGTACGTGTGTACTTAAATATGGAGACCAAAGGTCTACCTTAGAGTGGTCCCTCCAGAGTCATCCATCTGGATTTGGGGAACAGATCTCTCACTGGCCTAGGACTCACTGATGGGTAGACTGGCCATCCACTGAACCTCAAGAATCTACCTGTTTCTGCCCCTGCCGCCTAGGAATTACAAGTGTGGCCCCTACACCCACCTTTCTTGTGTGGGTGCTGGGAATCGAACTTTGGTCTAGCTGCAGAGTAAACTACCTTAGAACTGAGTTATCTCCCTAGCCTGAGAAATCTCGATTTTAATGAAAATGTTCAATTTCCAGGTGCCTACAGGCAGAACATGGGTAGAGAAACTTGCAAGGCGGACAGTGTGCGTGTGGCTGTGACTGTTTACGACTATCTGCTGCCATCTCAATACCAGAATCTGTGCCTGCTGTCACACCGTCTGGAGCCTCTTGGCCAGTTGCCTGGTGCAGTTGCAACAGCCCTATTACTATCACCAAGTCTGGTTATGAAACACAATCGATTTCAAAATAGCTGTTGAATTAACTGGGTTTATGTTTGGCCACCATTCCATCAAACCCCAGGTTATCTGACCCCGTGGAGAACAGGAGTCGTTTCAAGTGTTATGGCATTTTGACTTATCCAAATGCTCTGTTTTTATCCTCTATTAGGATACAGGTGGTTTTAAACACCGAACAAAGGGGCTGTGTGTTCTAAATGGAAATGGAAATGCCTCTGTTAGCCTAGCTGGCTTTAAAAAAGAGTTTTTGCATTTTTCTTGTTCATGATTTCCATCAGCAACAACAATGAATCTCACTCCGAGTGAAGGTATCCTTGATTTCAGCCGTTGTCGGGCAGAAAGGTACGCATATAATTTTGAGAAACACACACACACACACACACACACACACACACACACACACACACACACAAAACAAAACAAAACAAAAAAAAAACCAAATTGCAACTATCTGAAAGCCAGACAAGGAACACACAAAGAGGTCTCATTGCTCACCGGAGCCCATGCATTTTTCCAACACAAACCTCAGAATCTGCTACTCTCAGCACAGCACAGATGAGCTGGTTTCAGTAAATGAGAAAGCAACTCACTATCAGAAGCAGATCTAATGTCTCAAAAAGGAAATAAACCCAGGCATGTGGTGCAAAGTAAAATGCTATTGATTTCATTAGTAAAGCACACAGTATTTAGGAACAATCTTCTCATTACAATAGCATTTCTAGACTGACTTTACAGCCCTCTGCAGTGACAATTCTTCACCTGCCTCGGGTTTGTCTACTCTTTCCTGCTTGGTGCCTTTTAAAATTGTCATGGGTTAGTCTAGAAAATATGGCGGACTGCTCTTTGCTCGGCTACTGAAAAGGACAGGGAAACCTACTTACTTCTCAGAGCGTATTCTTTGGGCTTCGGTGAATTCAGATCAGAAAGGAATTCATCAGTATCTTGCATGCACTTGAGAGAAATATTTCTTGCAGGAGAAACAAAAGGTAACATGAAGTGCAGGCAAGCTAGCAAAGTGAAGGCCATCATTTCTCAATCTGTCAGGACCGACCTCTTTCTTGGACAAAGAGCCTAATATTTATGAAGCCCTTGTCTGTAATGTGTTGGGGGTAAATGTGACGCCTCTCACTCCTTAACAAGCGAAGAGACAAACCGCATCTCCTCAGCCACCTGCAAAGCGGACAGATAAACCATGGAAACCAGTTTATATACAATTTGTTATTGTCGAGTGAGACAGAGCTGTGGATGTGGTGCCGTTGGCCACCTGGCTTCCTTTAGTTATGCAGATTAACATGTCCAGCTCATGAGAATAAGATTCGGGCTCTCTCTGGCAAGGTGGTCTGGTATATCTCTCTGGGTTTAAAAACAAAACATGTTGATGACGTGAAGTAGCAATATTTGGATTTTGACCAAGAGTGATGATAAATCCAACCTGTAAAATGATTGGCTGGATGTTAAGCAAAGCAGGGCTGCTCTGTGATCATCAAGAAAGGCTATACAACTCTTAATGGATTTACTGGACTCTGAAAGCAGTGTCAGCCTGGGCATGACTCAAGAGCCCACAGGAAGAAGTTCTTGCTCGAGGCAGATGTACACACCCACCCACACATGAAGATTTAGAACACACATCCGGGAAAGGAAGTGATGCTGAGTGTTGATTGGGCTTTAAGAAAACAAAATGTGTGGGTCACAAGGTAAATATTCTCACTCGAGAAAGGCTGTCTTTAAATAGTAGCTGCTGCATCTCCACGTGAAGAGTGACATGTCTGCACACCTATTTACACTGCCTGAGTACATGTGTGGGTAGTCAAGACTCAGTTGCACATCCTGCCACATGTTTAGAACATCCTCTAGCATCCGAGGCTGCTCAGCCAGCCTCAAAAGGATACATGCACGTGTACACAAACATGCACACACTGTCTCCCCTATTCTTCTTTGGATTCCTGTGTTCTCTTGGGCCACCCTATCGGGAAATCCTTCCCACCAGCCTCCTCAGTGGCATACATGCAGGCAAAACACCAATGCACATAAAATAAAATTTTTTTAAAGTATAGTGTTTATGTCTGGACATGGTAGTGCACATTCTTAACATCAGCACTGGGGAGGCAGAGGCAGGTGGATCTGTGAGTTCAAGGCCAGCCTGGCTACATAGTGAAACCCTGTCTGAAAACTTAAAAAAAAAAAAAAATTAAAGATGTGTGTGTGTGTGTGTGTGTGTGTGTGTGTGTGTGTGTGTGTGTGAGAGAGAGAGAGAGAGAGAGAGAGAGAGATCTGTGTATTCACAGCGTGCACACATGTGGAGGTCAGCAGGCAACTTTGGTGGAGTCTGTCTTTTCCTCTCACCTTTATGTGGGTTCCAGGACTCAGGCTCAGGTTGTCAGGCTTCTGTGACGAACATGTTACCCTCTGAGCTACCTCCCAGCTCAGTTTCTATTTATTCTTTAAGTCACTCTTGGCTGCTCTAGGAAACCCTCCTGGGCTCCCTCCCACCAGAATAGCCACTTCCTGTACCACACACTGGCTTTGCACACTCCTTAGTCTGCATGACAAGGTTTACTTTCTAGCTCTGTCTGGTGCTAGCTCAATTTTTTAAATTCTTCTTTTTTTGGGGGGGGGGCATGGTTCTGGGGATTGAACCTAGGGTTTCATACATGTTGGTCAAGCACTCTACTGGTGGGCTCTCATTTTGCTTTTTATATTGAGACATGGGCTTACCAAGTTGCCCTGACTGGTTTGGAACCCACTCTGTAGCCTAAGCAGTCCTTGAATTGCCATCCACCGTCCTCATTCTCCTGATGCAGGCCCATCAGGAGCTAGCTCAGTTCTGCCGTCTGTAAACATCATGTAATCACCGGCCTCCGGTAAGTGTTTGTAGAACGAAGATAGAGTTCAGGACACATGAACTTTTAAACTCTCCTGTCATGAGCCTCACATTACAGTTAGTTTTCCATGCCAACTGGTTTTATTTTTGCCAACCACCTCCCTGGTTTTGGTTTTGTCTTATTTCAAAGTGTATGGAAGGCTGGGGTCACGATAGACTGTTTGCCTTCTATGCCAGAACGAAGTCCTGGATTCAGTACCCAGTCCTGTGCCCGCCCCCACTCCAAAATGTGAAGAAGGAATTGGAAACGACACCAACAAGCAAACAAACGAGGCTTAGCTAACTTGAATAGTTATGAATGGTTAAACAGAAATGTCTCTGAACCTTGGATTTATTCATAAAACAGTTGCTGGTATATACTCATCAAAAATCAGAATGACTGGGGCTGAGGCTGCAGGTGAGTTGGGAGACTGCTTGCCTAGCATACGAGAGGTCCTGGCTGAATCCCCAGCATCACATAAACCAGGCATGGTGGCACACGCCTGGAATCCCAGCCCTGAGGAGATAAAGGAAGGTGGGTCAGATGTTCAAGGCCAGCCTAGCTACACGAGACAGTCTCAACAAACAAGTGAAACCTTACTTTTGGATAATTAATGGTTTAAGGTCCTTCTAATGTTTCTCTCAACTCCTAAAAAAAAAATAAAAATTATCACTAGTCGAGGTTTAAGGGAACTCAGTCATTTCACAAGGATATTTTAGACCCCTGATTTATGCAAGACACCATACTGGGCACAAAAATAGGACAGGAAAATAAATATTGCCTTTCTTTCCTGCCAACAGGCCTTCATCATTTCCTGAGGCGGCAGCCATCAGCTGACCAATGTTCTGAATGCCAAGGTCATTTCCTTCTAAAGCTGGCTATGCCAAATGAAAGGCCACAGGACATCATCATCTGGGGGTGGAATGGGCAAAACAAGGCTCTGTGTTTGCTGACAAAAGTACATGTCAATGTGATGGACGAAGTGTAGCTGGTCCCTACTGCCCTGAGGTGGGGACATGAGAAGAAATGGGACTGTGCAGCAGGAAGCAAGCAGAGCTGTGGAAAAGCTGAGAAGGCCCCTCCAGAGCGTGACAGTCAGTCAGCAAAGAGACAACTAGCATCAGGCAGGGGGGATGCTGCGGAGAAAAAGAACACAGCACAAAGAGGGAGGTTCGTGTAGCAGGTGTGTGGGTGGCTGACCGGCATGCTTCCTTCCTTCCTTCCTTCCTTCCTTCCTTCCTTCCTTCCTTCCTTCCTTCCTTCCTTCCTTCCTTCCTTCCTTCATTCTTCAAAACAAGATCTTGCTAAATGGCCCAGGCTACCCTCGTACTCATGATCTTCCTGTCTCTCCTTCCCGAGCTGTGGGATTTCAGGAGTGCACAACTGTCCACTGGCAGGCTCACAGTTTAGCCAGGAAAACAGAACAAGCTCTCGTAGCAGAGCGCTCTTCTGAGCTAAATAGAAAGATATGGGCCGTTTTCCTGGGAATAACTGCGGGAGAGCATTGCAGAGGAGAGAATGAACAGCCAGCCGTGGGTGGGGTGGGAATGTGAGGATGAGTGTGCAGAGGAGGGGGTGGGGTGGGAGGAAGCAGTGGGGGATGAGGCCCTTCCAAGTGACAGGATGTGGGGGAAGGAGATGGGGATCAATTTCACTTCCAGTTATCCTGAAGAGTCTCTTCTAAAATAGCCAGCATGGGTATATCGCTTGGTGGATGTCTTTCTTATTCAGAGGGCAGCAGAGTTTAAATTTCACTGTCCCACAATGTGCACATCCAAGATGGCTCCACAGATCCCTTTATGAATTTAATTTTACTTTAAAAATACGTGTGTGTCTGTGTCTGTGTGTGACTATGCGCATTCAAGTGCAGGTGCCCATGGGGTCCAGGAGAAGATGCCAGGTCCCCTGGAGCTGGTGTTTATTAAGCCATCCAACATATCTGCTGGGAGCCAAACTCAAGTCCTCTACAAAAGCACACACTCTTAACCATTGAGCCGTCTCTCCAACTCCAGCTCATGGGTCCCTTAGAGGTGACCAGCCTCTGCCTCCAACCAAACAAGAGCAGTCACCCCAGTCACGGCCACCAGTATGGATACATTTAAAATACCCCTGCTTCTACAGGAGAGTCAGAATAGAATGAGGGCCAGGTGAGTGATCTTCTGGCCTCCATAGGAGTAGTCCACAGCTGTCTCCTGCCAAGATCCATACATACAACAGCAGGCTCCCTAACGCAGATCTACTTTGTGGGCTCTTATCAGTCTGACACCATTCCCTCCTATCAGCAGACCTGTGCCTGCCCTGTTCTCTGCCACACACGATATTCTCAGAAATAACTGGTCTGATTAAGCCTCACATGACATGAAGATCAGAGAATAGCTTGGACTAAGCCTACAGTTTCTAGAACTGAGAGAGGCATTATCTGTCACAGGGGACTCTAAATACAGTACTTTCCCACGTAGTCTTGTAAACGTGGTGGTTGTTCCTGTTTGGAGACAGATGTGACACGACAGATGTATGTGACAGTGCACTGTACAACTCTGAGAAAAGCTCCAGGATAAACAACTTGCTGCAGAAAGAGCTCCTTTAAACAGTGTAATATACGAGTAATATAAACTGTCGTGTCGTGACTCCGAGCTAGCCTTTTGGACTGAATTTAGAAGCTGGCAAAGGATGTTTTTCTGGGAAGCACTGTTCTATTTCCTCAGGTAAAAAATATCCACTTGGGGCAAGGAAGGGTGTAATTCCAGGACAAACCTAAAGAGCTGATGGCTCTGTCCATCTTTACCTTGCCTGGAAAGATGCGACACATGCTGGCAAGAATACAGGTAGCCTCGGACCACTGCATCTGTCCTCTTCTGTGCCTTGGTTCTGGCAATGGACATGGCCTGCTCCTGCCATGCCTACTACTGAGGGGCTCTGTTCCATGGCTGTTTACCCAAAACTGCTTCGTCTTCTCAGTCCTGATGGTAGGTCTGTATTTGGCTAGTCCCTAAGTGCCTCAACATCCCTTGTTTCAGTGAACATCTTTGTAGATGTCCCTTTCTGAAGTCTCTTAGAGTTAAACCTTTCCAGGACTGGGGAGAAGTCTCTGTGGTTAAGAAGAACATATTCTGTTCCTGCAGAGGACCTGAGTTTGACTCTCAGCATCTACATCAGATGGCTTTCCACCCCATATGACTCTAGCTCCAGGGGTCCTACACCTTCTTCTGGTTTCCACTGGCACAGGGCTCATGGGCACAAACCCATACATATAGATGCAACTAATCTTAATGCTAAAATAAGATTTTAAAATATCATTAAAGTGAAAGCTTTTCTAGAATGCTGCATTCTGCTGGGGGACTACTAAAACAAGATCTGTGTTGAATACCCCAGCGCTTCCCTTTCCAAGAAGACAGAGAATGGAAGTGAGCAGATGTCCAGGACAAAAGTGGGGGGAGCTGGTTATAAAAGTTTCACCACATAATATATTGAGGGGTTTTGGGTTTTGTTTGAGACAGGGTCTCACTCTGTATAGCACAGGCTGACTTTGAAATCATGACATAGCCCAGATCAGCTTAAAAACAAATAGCTTTCTGCTTGCCTTGGCCTTCCAAGTTCTAGGCTTACAGGTGTGATGTTTTGAGTGCATACTAAAACAATCACCAGAAACCAGGGCTGCGAAGAGGGTTGAAGTGGATATAAAAAGAAAACACTTAGGGAAGGCTGACAGT